GGGATTTTAGTGAGGATAATGTGTGGTGTTTTTTACTTGTGTGAACAGTTTGGTGCATTTCAGGACAATACAAACTCCACTCAGCCACTCACCAGCTCTGTAGCACCCCGTACTCCTAAAAGACTTTCAGAGCACGCGATCTGTCACATGGACTGAACAGTACACCCAGGTGAGAGATGTGGACACATTTAAACGCGCCATAGCATAAATTTGACATTTAACCTGCCTCTAAACAGTCCTACTTATATTGAGGAGATTGGAGTCCCCAGGGGAGTTCAAGATTATTATAATCTAGCTGATTGGGTGGCTGCCAGATTTGAGAGCTTCCCGTCATCCCTAATAAGAATTTAGAATTCACTACATCCATTATAATGTGTTACAACTGATTAATTTGACTCGAGTTACTGTAGAAGAATTGGCTGAACAATTTGCACCCACTTCCCTTATGATTACAAAAGGGGGCATGTGTGTTAGGTTTGGAATAATGCTGTTCGTTACTCAGGCAATAGAAGGCCTGAATGGTTCGTCTAAAACAATACACGAACACCCAGGTGAAGACAACCCCTGGATGGTTGGCTGACTGGACTTTTTGGTAGGTGGGGATGTGCAGTATTGTCTGTGTTCATGTAGGATGTGTTTTGTTAAGGGGTTTAGGCAGGATTTAATTTACATTTGAGTTAGTCTGTGAAGGATGCTGAACGGACCGTTAAGGTCACCGTCATGGGGCGTGAGGTGATGCTGTCTTTTCCTCTTAAATAAAGATCAAACTGTTCGCTCCAGGGGGGTTTCAGCAGCATTCACACAACATCCTAGGGTTTAAACGAGAATTAATCTTTCTATGATACAAACCGGATTCCAAAAAAGTTGGGACATTAAACAAATTGTGAATAAAAACTGAATGCAATGAAGTGGAGATGGCAAATGTCAATATTTTATTTGTAATATAACATAGATGACAGATCAAAAGTTTAATCTGAGTAAATGTAACATTTTAAAGGAAAAATATGTTGATTCAAAATTTCACAGTGTCAACAAATCCCAAAAAAGTTGGGACAAGTAGCAATAAGTGGCTGGAAAAAGGAAATTGAGCATATAACGAACAGCTGGAAGACCAATTAACACTAATTAGGTCAATTGACAACATGATTGGGTA